TGTTGTCCCTCTGATGAAGTCGTGCCATGGTGGCTAGCGGCAGAAAAGCACTTCAAGGATCGCCACTACCCTCCCTGCTTTGGCTATCGGGGCTAGAGTCCCAGATTATGAGGAACTGCCTCTGGGAATGAAGCCTAGTTCTTCGTCCAATTTTTTCAGCATCTTTTGTTCTGCTACGCGCTGCATGTATCGTGGATGTGGCTCAACGGCACTTAAGTTCGATTGGCATGAAAAGGAAACTTTTTTGTTCATGAATTCAATCGATCGTTTGTATTGATTTTAGGTCCCTTTTCTCTTTTTATTTCATGTATCGTTTGTACGATCCGTCTGATTCTCTTTTCCTGCATACGTAATGAGTTTTCCTTCTTTCGAATAAATCTCTCGGATTTTTTTATTTTTTTTTTCTGTTTTTCCTCGCGATTCTTCGTTGTGACATCTTTTCTCCTTTTTTCCTTGTTTTGCTTTCAGTTTTTTTATGGTGACTACTCGGGCACGTAATCACGGCAAACAAAATTTACTATTATAGGCCAGATGCTCTTGTTGTCTCTGCATCTGTGTGTTTTGTTTCCCTTGATAAGATTGCAACCCTTGGTTGCATTCTCGCACGACCTTCTATGCGTAAAAAAAAAAAAAAAAAAAAAAAAAAAAAAAAAAAAAAAAAAACTAAAAAATTCCTCTCTCATATTGCACACTCTGCCTCACTTTCAGCTCGCTCAAACTTGGGGTACTAATAGTTCTTATCTCCCGGTCATTGCGCTTGCATGGTTCTCCAATGCTCAGATCGGTTTCCACAATTATCTGCGTATGTATGAGAGACAGACGACCTGACTCGCAAATCACACAACCGCGAAGTACCACGGCATACACTGTGTGTCATCAACCTCGAAGGAAACTCTCGTATGAAAAGAAAAACATTATAGCTCAGAGAGATTAACCATTACTCCACTGCCACACTGCGGAGCGTAATAAACTGGCAAGCCCCTAGTTTCGGCCGTCGCCAGTACGGCCTCATCAGGGGGGATCGAGATGATGTTGCAACTACAGTAGTTCTACTTTATACTAATATCCATCCTACTCATGCGCGGGGTCCTTAGTTTCCACACTCGTCTCAGGCAGTTCATATCGTCACTGGTCTGCAGCACGTCTGGTGTGTCACGAGGACTCCCGCCAAAAACTTTCCAGGTTTGCTTTGTCTCGTGGGACCGATCTGGTTGAGATGGCCTACACCCACCTGCCCGCCAGGTAGCTTGTTCCATCCTAATCATACCCTCCCTTTTTTTTTTTTAAAATCCTCGCGCCACGTTTTCCTGCTGCACAGGTGTGTTTCCGTGTCATATCTAGTGTAACCTGGTTTCACGAAAATGCGGCGTCCTGGTTACTTGGAAATCAGAAGAGCTCGATATACGGACAAACTAGCCTCCGCATTCCAGACGATACTCTGTATAATATCACCGAAGGAAATCCTCGAGAAAAACCGAAAGAAAATCCAAGAAAATCCAAGAAGCCCCCCACCTGCCTCGCCATTTATTGTCTGTTGCGTTGGTATCTTTCCTGACAGCGCGTCACTTTCTTGCTCAGTTACTCAATCATATCTCCCGCTTTCTAAAATCCTACGTACCACTCCCCTGATACCTTGAAAGAACCTAGTTATCGGGCGGACCAGCCCAACAACCGTCGATAAACTGAGCAATAATAACACCCAGTAAAACAACAAACCTTAAAAAATAAAAAAACCAAAAAAAAACCCAAAAAATACCATTAGCTCTTACCAGCTGCACAGCCTCATCCTCCATTTCTCCCAACACGGGGAGATTTTTCGAACGAAAGTGCTCAGACACCCATTAAACAAATTGTTCGGGTACCCCTGCAGGCGTAGTTGCCTTTTCATCGTGAGCAGGGCTAGCCCTGTTAGCTCGTTCGTGGACGTCATTCTCCGGATCCGGTGTAGAGCACTCGTGATCACGGTTTTCTTCTGTCGAAGCATCGAGAACGATCCGAAGTCCTGAAAAGTACGAAACGACAAATCCCCACCGTTCCACATTTGATCGTAATTTTTTGGAAAACAGAAGCAGGAAACCACGTTCCCTACGATCTCCACTTTTGTCCCTAGGTAATGAAAAGATCCCTTCCCGTCATCAGTCCTTTTCAGCGACACTTGGTCATCATAAGCCCCCTCGAACTTCTTCATGACCTCAGCGCGACGGGCCTCTCCCTTCCTTAACGGGCACCATAAGAATAAATCCACGTCGTCTATCAATCTCATACCTTTCACCAGCATTCTATTTGCCCCCAAGCTATTCAGGAAATGATATTCATTCATTGCACACAGGATGCATGCCAGTGGGGGGCTGCTGCTTTTCCTCATTGGTATGCCTATCCGCTGCCGAATCAGCCGATTGGAGGCAAATAGGTACGTGTGATTTAACTCAAACTCAACTATGCTTCGGATTGCTGCGAACTCAACTTTCATCCACCAGTCATTTCCCACTTTCTTTGCAAAAGCAGACCCTTTTCCTCTTCTCTTAATACTAACACTTGACCGGCCCTTCTTTGCATACCAGTCTAAAATCCAGTCCACCGCTATTTGGATTGAAACGTGTGGGAGTTGGTTGAACATCTCCTTAATGTCAAAAGAAGCTCCCACTATCTCTCCCTTTCCCATCAATTGAACCCACTTATTCAACTCCTTAGTTCTCTCGGTGAGCAAATCCATAGATTTCAAGTTGAATATCATAGACTTCGGTAACAGGAAAAGCAAATGGTTCAGGGCCCTTGCCACCCTCCCTCCAACAGTCTTAGAGGGCTCCGAAAATGAAGGACTTATCGGTCGTAATCGACTGATGTCTTTCTGCTTCGGGATAATATAAGCGCGTCCACATTTTTCATTTCTGTCCCGTTTACCTAGGCAGTCCATTCCTCTGTCTTTAAACTCACGCTCACACTTCACGAGGATCTCAGCCTCCGTTTCCCAAACAGCAGTAAAACTCACATTCCCCCAAAAAGTATTCCGCATTCCCTTGGTATAAACCTCCAGACACATCACCACTGTTTCTGTGGTGTTCCTATCTACCGCAGAGCAGGTAAGGTTTAAACATAACTTTTTACACTTCTGGACTTCATTCATTAGACCCAAGTCACGTTTTTTCCTCCGATTCTCGCACAGCGGGACCTCTTCCCTACTCATGTAGGATTTCAGACCCATCTTTAGAAAACCATCATTAATTTCTCGCATAATCCTCTTTACCCCGAAACTTCATTCCACAGAGACAATATTGCGAGCGTTCTTGACGAAACTGTGAACCGACTGGAAATCACTCAGCCTACAAATCACGTGACCCTCCACCTTCGGGAGGGCGTTGTCTGCACACATGCAGACTCCCACCTCCTGCTGGGCAGTGGGACGGTGGTCATGAAGGATGCCACCAACTGTCGGATTTCTCTTCCAGACTGTTAGTAGCCTTCTACATATGAAAGAGGATAGCGACTGAGGAATCTCAGCTCGCATCTTATTTACAACCATTTTACGAACAGTGTTCATAGATACTTTATTATCATAAGTTACAGAAATGCAAGCCTTTTTCCTAATATTAAAACGAAATTTCTGCCAAATTACACCCGCTAGGATATCCTTAAGTTCCGAGCGAGTGGCTGATCGCGAGAAGCAGCCTACTGCAGCTAACAAGGTCATGAGCTTATCAATATCATACTTATACAGTTTCTTTTTGTTCCACTTATTTCTGATCAGCTGGAACAGCTCGCGCTTTGCTTTCGCTTTCCCTTCCGAAAGCGTTTTTTCCTTCAGATCTATTACCTCAAAAATCCCTCCCTCTTCCAGCCTACCCTTCACCTCCCCAATCTTCTTGTAAGTAGATCCATCGCGTACAATAACGGCTCCCAATTCCTTAGTAATCACATCCCACCTCTCTCCCCAAAGCTTTTCGCCTTCTGATCTGAACCTTCGATCTCCTTTTCATGCCGCCTTACATACCTCCGTCAGTTTGACGGTTCTCAAACCTTCAGTTTCAAAAATAATCGGCAGGTCGTTAATCACATCACGTCTCCTCCCCTGCTTCCTTTCCTTCCTTCCCTTCCTTGCCTTTTTTCCCTGTCTTTTCCCTTTCCCTTTGGAATTCAGAGCTGGAGACCATTTTTTTATATAAACTCTTTCTACTTGCTCGAGGTCACGCGCGGGGCCAAAAGCTATAGGTAATGCTATATAATCCAGCGCATGAGTGTGCCTGAGCTTGTTATATAACTTCGTCCTTCTATTACCGTCCTTATTATAAGATCTATATACGTGTTCCTCCCACCGCGTAAACAAACTTCGACCAGTGTCCCCAATATAAATGGCTCGCACCCTAGGGTTAATCAAGGCATACACACATGCGCTCGGTTCCTCTCATTCCTCTAGTTTGCTACTAATCAACTCATACCAATTCCCAGCGAACTTAGCACCCCACTGTATCTCCCCCTTCAGCACCAACAGTACCACTAGGTACCTCAGTACTCCCTCTAGCACAGTACGGAGCCGTTTCCTGCTAAGTTCTGGCTGAGTACGGAAATTTCTTCGCAGCTCCAAGTAAACACCCAGTTCACTCCATAACTCCCCTGTCCTATGGATTAACGATCCTGGGATTACCTCCTTCTTTGAGGGGCTCACCAGCATCCTCTCGTGGTTCATCCTGATATTGTACCTCCCGGATCACAATGCCGATCCCTCGATTTCTCGGTGTTCTTACTGCCGCTGGCGCCGCTTGTTTGCTAAAGTAAATCACTCGCAGCTCGATTAGTTCATCCACCGCTTCCGGGCGACCTCGGTACGCCACCCCCGCTTCGCGGCACATTTTCTCTATCGTAGGCTTCAACTTTTTTCCCAAAAACTTTCTGATTGCCTTCCTAAAAGCCGTATTCGTGTTGTAGTCTTCTGCTGTCGGAGCTCCCTCCCATAAGCTTGAGTCCTGGTACGGGAAGCCCAGCTGCCCTCCATCGGCTCTCGACTGTCGTTGTGGTACACCCAACTGCGGGGATCTTTCCTCAACTGTCGCCCGAGGCAGTGAGGTAGATGCTCGTCCCACTTTCATCGGTGATTCCCCCGGCGAGGTGACCTAGCACGTCGGAACTTGCTGACGTTTCCGTTTCTCCAGCTTATCCTCAGCTGGTTCTTCTTCCTCTTCATCCGAGCTTGAATCAGCTCTTCCTTTTCCTTTCAGGGCTTTCCCCGAAATTATCGCGTTCTTCAATCTCTTATCCAGCATACGCTCGAACTCCTCACGTAACGTCTCTTTCTGCTTGGCTAGGAGCAGCTCAACCTTCCACTCCCTGTCCGCTTCCTTTTTCTCCTTAGCTCGTTTCCTCTCCAACTCCAAGCGATTTTTCTCTTCTCTAGCGGATCTCTCGTGTTCCTCATGTTTCCTCCTTTCCTCAGCTTCTCGCTTCTTAGCCTCCATCCTTTCCTCCTTTTCGATCTGACGGTTTGTAAACAAGCAAACCATCCTCAGCGATTCTTCCAAGTCCTTGCTCATTGCAGGAGCAGCAGCTATCGCGGGTTCGTTCGCGCTATTTGAACTGCTTGCCCCGTCGTTGTTATCTCGGGTCCCATTGGGCGCGACATTGCCCTGTCTAGGCGCATTACACTCTCGACTAATGTGCCCAAACTGATTACAGTTGTAACATTTAGCCGACCTCTTCCAGTCCCCTCCTCCTCCCCCGGTGCCGTTCACCCCACCATTTCCACCCCACTGATTAGCACCACCGTTCCACTGACTCCCATTGCCACGTCCGCCGTAATTACCGTTGCCTCCCCCACTCCAATTACCATTCCCTCCTCCGCTCCAGTTGTCAGCGCCTCCGCCTCCGCCCCAGTTCCTATTATTCCCGCCTCCACCTCCGTTATTCCACCCACCATTCCCGTTACCATTACCACCTCCTCCACCTCCGCTGTTGCCATTCCCGCCGTTGGCCCAGTTGTTGTCTCCACCCCCGTTCCAATTACCGTTCTGCCCGTTTCCCCCGCTATTGCGGTTACCGCCTCCTCCACCACCGCCGTCGCTCAGACCACCGCTCGGTCCTCCGCTCATGGTCACGTACAAACTCGTCACTCCTCCTCTTACAGTCACCTTCTTCGTGTAAACTTGAAACAAGAAACAAGAAAACAGAAACTTGAAACAAGAAACAAGAAACTAGAAATTAAGCTACAGGGCCACTACGCGCAGGTGAGTTTCTCCTGGTAGGTTGCCGCTGCGTTTACAAATGTATAAGAGACAGACGACCTGACTCGCAAATCACACAACCGCGAAGTACCACGGCATACACTGTGTGTCATCAACCTCGAAGAAAACTCTCGTATGAAAAGAAAAACATTATAGCTCAGAGTGATTTACCATCACTCCACTGCCACACTGCGGAGCGTAGTAAACTGGCAAGCCCCTAGTTTCGGTCGTCGCCAGTACGACCTCATCAGGAGGGAACGAGATGATGTTGCAACTACAGTAGTTCTGCTTTATACTAATATCCATCCTACTCATGCGCGGGGGTCCTTAGTTCCCACACTCGTCTCAAGTTGTTCACGTCGTCACAGGCTGCAGCACGTCTGGTCTGTCACAAGGACTCCCGCCAAAAACTTTTCAGGTTTGCTTTGTCTCGTGGGGCCGACTTGGTTGACATGACCTACACCCACCTGCCCGCCAGGTAGATTGTTCCATCCTAATCGTACCCTTTCTTTTTTTTAAAGAAAATCCTCGCGCCACGTTTTCCTGCTGCACAGGTGTGTTTCCGTGTCCTATCTAGTGTAACCTGGTTTCACGAAAATGCGGCGTCCTGGTTACTTGGAAATCAGAAGATCTCGGTATACAGAGAAACTAGCCTCCCCATTCCAGACGATACTCTGTATAATACCGCCGAAGGAAATCCTCGAGAAAAACCGAAAGAAAATCCAAGAAAATCCAAGAAAATCCAAGAAGCCCCCCACCTGCCTCGCCATTTATTGTTTGTTGCGCTCGTATCTTTCTCGACAGCGCGTCACTTTCTTGCTCAGTTACGCAATCGTATCTCCCGCTTTCTAAAATCCTACGTACCACTCCCCCGGTACCTTGAAAGAACCTAGTTATAGGGCGGACCAGCCCAACAACCGTCGATAAACTGAGCAATAATAACACCCAGTAAAACAACAAACCCCAAAAAACAAAAAGCCAAAAAAAAACCCAAAAAATACCATTAACTCTTACCAGGTGCACAGCCTCATCCTCCATTTCTCCCAACACGGGGAGATTTTTCGAACCTAGTTATCTGGGTATGTCTCGCTCAATTAGTAGGACATATTTTTACGGCTTGCGGGCCTGGGGCGTATGCGGATCTTAGCAGCAGAAGCACGTCCACCGATTTTTTTCCGATGATTTGCTGTTGCGGATAATACTCGTATGCGTCGCTAGGCGTGCTAATGTAAACCTATGAAGCTCATATAATCAGGGGTGCACTTCACCATAATTACAGCTCCGATTTAATCTTAACATCCTATAGTGGTTGTCTATTGAGTTACGGGACTCATGAACAGAGAAGCTTTTGTGCCTACTTCCACACCGTGATCCAAAGAGAACCCCCTTTGTGTATTTCGATGATGCGTCTGGAAAAGGAGTAGTGGCATGGTAAAGAGTCTCGTGTCCGCCTGCTAAGCTAATGGGGTTGCGCCGATGCAATGTTTCAGAGCTTATTCGCGATTTGGTTTCCGTATCGTTTCTCCACTTGTTGATTTGCAACTGGCGTACTTAAAACACACCTTTACGTGGGGGGATCCCCCCGTCAGCGCTGTTGGTGGTGTGTCCCACCAACCGCAGCCCTGTGAATTATTCAGGTTGGGATGACATGAGGTATTGCCTGGAGCTCCGCGTACGAGGAAGGACGATCGAATCAGATACGAGGGGGGGAGTACGGTAAGTGTGATACAAGATCGAACTGAGGTAAGCATGATTACGCATCCTGCGATCCGAACCCTCTTCCTTCGCGAGTACTATATGCTTTGTGTGTTTTGTGTTGTGCAGGTCTCACCGGTGGAATACTTCCCTGGAGGATGGTGGGAAGAGATTACGAGCAAGCATGCATGGCTCGCGGATCATGCATGACCAAGCAAGCCGGCGCAGGCCCTCCTTGCCACCTTGAAGCCCGAGATCCTGGATGCAATGAAAACACTGATGGGAACCGAGCACTATCCGAATTTTTTTAGCATGTTAGGCTTTAGAGATCTCGCTAGTCTCGCCGCATGTTGGGACGAAGGGAGAGATGTCTTTAATGCCAAACTGTTAGCATTAGCAAGGGATCGGGAAGTAAGGAAGATAGAGTACGGTAGGGAGTGTATCGAGCTTCCCGACAGGACCGCTAGTGTAGAACGGTTATTTATGAAGATTTGGGGACTAGACCACTCGCACCTACAGGGATAGGCTGCCGAGAAACCACAGGTTGAGTTTTCTGTCAACGGTGCTCTTGCCATGGAGATGAGGAAATGGAGGAAATGAGAGCCGCCATCGCTGAAATCACAGCATGCACCAGCAGCACCCCTCCTAACGCTGCCCCCGCCCATGGCACACAGTTCACTGCCTTTGCGCCACTGCCATCGCTACACTGGGTTGAGCATACAGGGCTAGGCTTCCAGCACCAGCTCTGGAAATTGGATACCTTCAACTACCTTGCTCCGTTTTCGCTTAGCGCACTTGTCTTCCTCGCGGACCTCACGAAGGAAGAAGTAGCGAACTGCAAGGCGAATGCCATGACCGGGGAACTACCGTACTGCCCACCTGGCAAACCCTTCTTCAAACCTACGCTGCTGCAATTCCCTGTTTTATCGGCACTCGATCACACAAAGTGCGAACAGACTAACCCTGTCATGTGGCAAAAAAATATTACAACTGCTTCCGAGATAGACCTTAAAAGTCTAAGGAAGTGTTGGGAGGTTGGGCGTCCCTACCTCAGATGCCAGTGTGCCACGAAGAGAAAGAAAGACTGCGGAAATTGACCAATATGGATGGACCATGCGATATGGTACCTTCTCGCCCACCCAGACATCCTCTTCCCCAACGTGGCGTCTGTAAAGGTAAGAATCTCGATGTTCATTCACTTCTTACGGGTGTCTTGGAAACCAGCAGTGGAAGCGTGCGTCACGTTCATGTTTATCCGGGAAGCCATGACAGATGTGATTCGTGCACTCGAGAAGGACCCAACGCTCACATCGGAATCTGCCGTGGATAAGTCCAAATGGAAGTATAACACCCTACTCATGGTCGGCAGGGTGTTCTCGCCCACATGAATCACCGGGAATCCCAGAGGCCGGACGAGAGTCTCCCCCAACCTCTTCGCGAACCAGAACAAGAGGCAGAGGAACAACGTCCCTCTGGTCATCCGCGCACGCAGAGGGTTCTCCTCTTTGAACCTAGCCCGAGAAGGAACATGGCGCAAGCCATGGACCTACCGCGCGACCCCCAACCTCACACCACACAACAGGAAAGGATTGCAGCTCACGACCCCCCGCCTGTTATGCTAAGCAGAGAGGTCGCGCAGAACGAAGCGAGAGGGCGAAATACGGCACACGCCGAGCGTCACAATAAGGTCAGCCATGGTCGGGGTAGCAACGCACGAGGAGGGAGTGGGCCGACGCACATCCCCTCTCAAGGCAGCTCAGCCATCTCCATCGCTGACTCACTCAGATCAGCCAAAAAAGCAGCCGAAAGCAATAAGCGTAAAAAAGGCGTCATCGAATCTCCTTGATGGGGTTTCAGGCAATCAGCGCTTACCCAGGCGGAATGACCTGTAGAACGCCTGAGGGTCACGCACGGGATTTCATTTTTTTGTTTGTTTAAAAAATTTTAAGTCGTAATGTTTGGATTGATCGATAACTTTTAATTTTGATTAATCCCTGTTACTTCACTCATCATCCCATCCGTGTTTCCTCAAACTTTAGTATCGTGAGATGCGCAGGACGAGCAGTTTGATCCAAGTGAAGGGGGCTGCATGATCACTCTTCCGTCTGACATGGTTGAATGGAGAAGGGGCAGACCAGAGAAGAAAGAATACGTCCACATATGCTACACGAGCAGGCTTATGGAGGGGATCCCCTTCAGGAGGTTGGTACTCAATGGTCTCAAGACGGTCGTGGGGGACAGGTCTGCGAACTGGTTGGACCACTTGGTGATCGGTTGGCGGTATGGTGACGCGATCGGGGCCAAGCTCTGTAAGTCGGGGCAGGTCTTCAAAAAGTTCAAGTTCGCGGAGTGGGAGGCAAATTACCTACCTGAGTGCTGCCTATGCGGTGCAGGGAGGCATGCTGAGTTTCTCAACCCTGCCGCAATCAGACTTCTACCGGCGGAGGGTTGTCTACACGTTATCACCGCAGACACATGCATCACCAACAATGGGCAGCTGCAGCTTATGCTCAACGCGGGCCTCAATCATATACCTATGAAGGCGTTGGATGAAGGTGTTGCGCTAGAGGAGGTAGAGCAGGCTGTGGACTGCATTCTGGCAAGCAACAGGTGTGATATGGAGCTATCGATGGAAGAGGAGACGGAGGTCAAGAAGGTGGTGATGAAGGACGCAGAGAAACGCTTAAGAGAGTACCGTATCAGTCATAGGTATATAACGGAGGAGCCTTTCAACAGCATTGCGGTAAGGAGCGAAGTCGAATGGCTGACGAAGAGATATCTGGTCTGCCTGACTGAGAAAGCCCCGCATATGCCAACCTTCGTATGTGTGAACTTTATCATAAAGTTAGCGCTCGCACGCGTCTCCGGACCAGACTTCGTGCAGCTTCCCGAGCAACCATCAGCTGCTGCTGCCAGACTGAGGGAGGCAGCTACTGCGATTGCGCCCATAGGAGCGATGGCCGAGAAGATGCCACTACCGCATCTTATGGTGGTGTACAAGGCGCATAAGGAGGCGTTCAGATGGATCACCAACACAGTTGGCACTGTGCTCTCGGGTGTTGCGGATGTATGCACGCGCGTGCCTTCTAAAGCTCCTGTCTCTTGACGTACAAGCCCTGTGTGCCAATAAGAGTGACGAGATCTTCAAAGAGCATGGAGTAAGACCGAACTTCTGGTGGCCGATCGCGTCCGTAGGAGAGTTCATGGCCAATCTACCACGTCACGTGTACTCAGTCTTTACGGGGGATATAACCAGATGCTTTGAGACCATACCGACAGACGGCTCCTAGGATTGCCTTATCTCCGCAATCAGGTTCTTCGTCCAATGTGCCATGGAGTGGAGAAGAGTCAGAACCATTAGGGATGTCATCGCCATCATGATTGCGGCCAACGACTCACTGCACCCATACTGGGTAGATAGCACATAGGACAGGGATCATGAGCAACTCTATTTTGACGAAGATGGGATTGTGAAAGCTTGCGAATGGCTTGTGTCCAATGGGGTGGTACAACTGGGGGAATAGGGTCTGGCGGCAAGTACTGGGTATCCCGATGGGTCTGGCCTGTTCTCCCATTTAAGTATGAATTCGAACTGATTTCTCACCTAGCTGACGAGCAGGATTGGCAGGCCCTGAAATGTTTCGAAGAAACTAACAGGTATATCGATGACCTGTGTGCTTTACACAACACACTTATCTCAGGATTCCTAAGCAACGGAGTACCTGGGCAGGACCCAGCCCGCAGAATTTACCCGCACGGATTTATCGAGGTAAAAGAAACCACACAGGTGAAAGAAGATGGGCAGGGCATAGTGGCGAACTTTCTGAATGTTACGCTCTCGATCATATCCACGATGAGCGGCTCATATGCCCCTTCGAAGCATGATAAGAAGAAAGGGCTGAGCTTTGCTCCAGTCAGATTCATGAAGTTTAAGTCTAATCGCAGTATCGCACAATCCCTACAAATCTTGACTGCACAAACAGTTCTGGTGCTCCTGCTCTGCTCCGACGAGCAGGAAGCTGCATTTGAAATCTATATGTTGGTCCAGACCATAGCTTCCAATGACTTTTGGAAAAAGGAATGCTGGAAAATAGTTGAAAAGGTATTCAGCAATCGGCACCTGTACCAACCGTGCAGGGTCAATGACGAACAGGTTAGGAGCCTGCTGATTGCGAGATTTCAAATGAATTAACCATATGCGTCTGTGGGTTTGTGCAAGTGGTGTGTGGTGACGGGGGGTAGTGGGCCGGAAGGCCTAGTACCCGTTGGCTGCTGGCCTTCCGGCCCCTACCCTGATTACCGGTGGGAATGGGGCGGGACACACACACACACACACACACACACACACACGCATACAATGTCTGAAGAGAGGCGGATCAGACGAATGGAAGGGAGGGGAGCAAGAAAGGGCATCCAGCTAGGCTTCCTCGAAGCGAAGCCGGTCTAAGCATCGAGCTGATTGTATTTTTGCTATCTGTATTTTTGTCTCCAGCATTTTTTCTGTATCGTTTCTACGATTTTTTTTCTCTATTTTTTCTGTATTCTGTATTTTTCTTCTGTATTGTTTTTTTTGCTCGCGACGCAATTAGGGTACACCGATGGTCTTAACGGTACCCTGCCTCGAGCAGTGTGTGGCATACGCATCTACAATGCTAGTGGGTGCAGATGGCTCAGAAGATACGAACCTTAGTCACTAGGTTGGACAACTGACGGGCTGACGAACTACTGTAAGGCTTGCGTCTGTTCGAACGGTGAATCTGCGGATTTGTGTCTTGTCTCCCCTTCTGTGTCCTGTCTATCTCTGTTGTTGTTTCTTTTTGGGTCATTTTTCTTTTCTCATCCGTTCATTTTTTTATTTTTTCATTTTTTCAATTTTTTATTTTTTCATTTTTTTTTGGCTTTGTTACGCGGCAACTTACGCCCATTTAGATGCCTGTACCATAGAAGGCCGATACGGATGCATCAGATGGACCTCCGTAAGCCAGGTTCGAGCAATAAAATTCCAATACGAAACATAGGATTCACACGATATGAGATGGGATGCAACGGGTAAGTGGGCTAAGAAGTAACAATTGTTACCAAGAATGAAAAAGAATAATAAATGAATAAAAGAAGTTGGAAAAATATGAACAATAAGTAGTCTTTTGCGAAGTTTTCTTCTTTTTTCCTTCTTTCTTTTTTCTTTTTTTTCTTTTTTCTTTTTTTTTTTTTAAGGTTTTTCGTGGTTTCACGACGTTTCGCGCACGTGGCCACGAAACTGCATCACTCCCCGCCAGATAAGTTTTTTCGAAAGGCGGGGTCCTTTCCGGATCTCGTAAGCTGGACGATTGACGTCAATTTACAAACTGCGATACTGCCGAACTCCGATTGTGACGAGCTCTCAGGCGGTATTTTAGGACACGAGCTACGACTTGTTTTCCATCGTGAGTTCAGCCTACGAGCCCTGATTGGCCTAGAGGGGACGGACGCCTAGGCTAGTCGGCTCAAGGGAATCCAGCGTGAGAACTGCTCGGGTGGAGTGGCTTCATCGACGTGTCTACGCTACAGAATTAACGCATCGGAGGTCATGGATTACGAGGTCGATCCATCTATGGTGGACCAACTCATCGGCAACGCGGAAGATGCGGTATAAGACCTTGGCCTTGCTTTCTTGTGCCGTGCTCGATCCGTCGCGGGTCACGCTCGCTGTCTCTTCTTGCCTCTTTTCCTGCCAAGCATCGCTGCGCATGCTCCACTGGGCTGCGTGCTGAGATATGATTGCCTATCTCTTCATCTTGTGAAATGCGCTCCGCTGGGTTATCTGTAAAGCACTTGCGTTTGGCAGTATGGCACTAGAGAAGGAGGAAGTAGTGGACAGGGCGGGGATTGCCATTGAAATCTCTGCCTATGTACTTCTTGTTTTTTTAGCGCTGCTCGCGTTTCTCGCCTTCGTGCACCATCTCCAGAATATCCCTCCTGCTCCCCCGCTGCTTCTTCCCAAGCATCTGTAAGAAAAGCTGGTGTTGTCCCTCTGATGAAGTCGTGCCATGGTGGCTAGCGGCAGAAAAGCACTTCAAGGATCGCCACTACCCTCCCTGCTTTGGCTATCGGGGCTAGAGTCCCAGATTATGAGGAACTGCCTCTGGGAATGAAGCCTAGTTCTTCGTCCAATTTTTTCAGCATCTTATGTTCTGCTACACGCTGCATGTTTCGTGGATGTGGCTCTACGACACTTAAGTTTGATTGGCATGATAAGGAAGTTTTTTTGTTCATGAATTTGAATTTCGATCGTTTGTATTGATTTTGGGTCCCTTTTCGCTTTTTATTTCATGTATAGTTTGTACGATCCGTCTGATTCTCTTTTTCTGCATACGTAATGAGTTTTCCTTCTTTCGAATAAATCTCTCGGATTTTTTCTTTTTTTTCTTTTTTCTGTTTTTTCTGGCGATTCTTCGTTGTGACATTTTTTCTCCTTTTTTCCTTGTCTTGCTTTCAGTTTTTTTATGGTGACTACTCGGGCACGTAATCACGACAAAGAAAATTTACTATTATAGGCCAAATGCTCTTGCTGTCTCTGCATTTGTGTGTTTTGTTTCCCTTAATAAGATTGCAACCCTTGCTTGCATTCCCGCATGACCTTCAAAAAAAAAATAATAATAATAATAATTAAAAAAAAAAAAATTCCTCTCTCATATTGCACACTCTGCCTCACTTTCAACTCGCTCAAACTTGGGGTAATAATAGTTCTTATCTCCCGGTCATTGCGCTTGCATGGTTCTCAAATGCTCAGATCGTTTCCGCAATTATCTGGGTATGTCTCGCTCAATTAGTAGGACATATTTTTACGGCTTCCGGGCCTGGGGCGTATGCGGATCTTGGCAGCAGAAGCACGTCCACCAATTTTTTTCCGGTGATTTGCTGTTGCGGACAATACTCGTATGCGTCGCTAGGCGTGCTAATGTAAACCTATGAAAGCTCATATAATCAAGGGTGCACTTGACCATAATTACATCTCTGATTTAATCTTAACACCCTATAGTGGTTGTCTATTGAGTTACAGGACTCATGAACAGAGAAGCTTTTGTGTCTAATTCCACACGGTGATCCGAAGAGAACCCCCCTGTGTGTGTGTCGATGATGCCTCTGGAAAAGGAGTCGTGGCATGGTAAAGAGTCCCATGTCTGCCTGATAAGCTAATGGGGTTGCGCCGATGCAGTGTTTCGAAGCTTATTCGCGATGCGGTTTCCGTATCGTTTCTCCACTTGTTGATTTGCAACTGACGTACTTAAAACACACACACACACACACACAGACACACACACATGCTTGCGTAGGGTTTGAAAGCGGCCTTTTTCGTTGTTGTTTTTTTACTTTTTTTTTTTGATTGATTAATTGATTGATTGATTGGTGGGGGATGGGTCGCCCCCCCGCCCCCAATCAAACACATACACACACACATACACACACACATACACACACACACATACACACAGACACATACACACACACACATACACACACACACACTTACTTGCACAGGGTTTGAAAACGTTTTTTTCTGTTTTTTTTTTTTTGATTGATTGATTGATTGATTGATTGATTGGTGGGGGATGGGTCGCC